TTCATTCCCTGAACGGAAAAGCGCGACATCACGACACTAGAAGTGAGTTACACATGGTCACACAATTGTGTGGGGTCGTGTCATTCATAGGTGCGGCACATAGAGAAGCACAACTTCCCAACATCAAAATGTTGTGTGCCACAAACACAGAGTTGTGTGTGTGCCATGCCACCTAGACACGCACTTTAAAATGTGTTTGGATGTCACGCTCTTCATTCGTAGAGCATTTCCCGCATTTCCCCCCTAGCGCCTCACAATCTCCAACGCCAGTCAGTCGCAGAGGGCGCGGCGCGGCGGGCAGGGACGCCAAGAGAGAGATAGTGGCACTTGCGACGACATCGCGAGCACACGCTCTTCAAGTGACAGGCGACACTGTCGGGCGCTCGGCGGGCGTCCTCCAGGACGCCGTCACCACCACGCCCACGCCGCGCCCCTCCCCGCCGGCCCGACTGTCACGTCCACGTCGTGGTGGGTGAGCAGCACCACAGCCTGCCTCCCCGCGGCCTCCCCCTCGGGGCGGCGGCGACGTCGAGGCAGCGAGAGGGGCCCTCCGGAGGGGCGGAGGCGCGCACGGCCGAGGCCACGACCACCCGCGCCGAGGGCGTCGACATTCGTCCCGGACGAGACACCCACCGTGCGCCGTGCTGGAGAAGGTGGAGAAGGCGGGGGTGCGCTCCAGGACGGTCGCTCCTCGCCGGCCACGCCAGCGCGGACAGCTCACGGCCATTCACTCATCGATTGATTCACTCATTTCACTGCACAGCACTGCACCATAAACACACACACTGTAATCCTGGCGTCGATGCGTCGAGGGTAATCCAACGTGTGACGGCGGTCCTGGCCTCCTCTTGCTCACTTTTCACTGTAAACACACGACGCGTCACTGGCGACGGACGACGCGGACCCGGCCGTGGACGGGGCTGCGGCTGCGGGCAGTCCCGCGGGCGAGCGGGGCGGACAGTTCGAGCCTGCACCGGCGAACCCCTACGCCAGCACCAAGCCCAACCCGGCTCCCGGCTGGCCTGGCTGGCTCTGCTCGGAGTGCTCGGCTGCTCGGCTCGGCTCGTGCTCCCCCCAGACCCATATGTGCCGGGCGGGCGGGCGGCAGCGGCAGCGGGCGGCGGGCATGCAGCGGGGAGCGCGGCGAGCAGCAGCGGCGGCGGAGCGGCGGCCCGGTCGGGCGGGCACGTCGGCGCAAATACGGGGTGCTCGGGAGCGCAGGCCGGGGAGCCCGCCGCCGGGGCCGACTCTTGCCCGCCGCCGGGCCCGGGCAGCGACGCCAGCGCCGCGCACAGCGTCAGGCGGCGGCCCGCCGAACCATCCAGGATAGCGTCGGTGTCCTGGCCAAGCCGCCGGCACGGGGGGGCCTCAACCGCCCGGGCCGTGGCGAGCACAGCCGCTAGGGCCCTCCAAGCTCCGAAGAGGGCCCCGACACTTTTTACCGCCAATTTGGCCGCCAGCGTCAACCCATTCGTTGGACGCCGATTCGGCGCCAACTCCCGCTAGCCTTGCCGCCCACCTCGTTGCGCGGTCCATCACAATTCACTGGTAACCAGTGAAAAAGGGCGTAAGTCCAACGCAAAGTCCGAGGACCTACGCCCTTTTCATTTGTCACATGGTCCGGAGTGGACGCAGGTGCGGGCGCGTGCCGACACTTTGCGCGCCGGCTCAAGACCCGCACAAAGCTCCCTCCATTCATCCCGTTTCCCCCCAAAACGCCCCGGCCGCCGCAGCACAAGCTCGGCTACTTGGCGTAATGAATGAGTGAACGAA